CCATGGCTTGAATTACTGGTTTTTGTAAGAGTTATTTGCGTGGAAAGAAAAGTGGTGCTGGATTTGTTCAGCTACAAATCACTGCTTTTTCCGTTATGGTCATGGATGTATGCTCGTGTCTTTACAAGGCAGGAAGCAAAAAGATAGAGGTGATTTATTCTAATTTATTATTTTTAGAGTTTGATTTTTTCTTTTGGAGTGGACGGTGGTGTACATTTACATTACTTTGTTTGGCTAGTCTCGGACAGGCTAATAATGCTTTTGTTTTGTTGTCATCTGTTGTACCATGTGCATATGTATGTATATTCTTTTGAAACGTGGGTCAGTTACATAACGTTCATGCTGTCGCATATTTTGCTGCGGCGCCTGTGACAGGCGTGCGGTAATCAATGCTATCACTTATTTGTTGCGTCATGACAGGCTTATAAGTTTGTAGCGTTGCTCTCATTTCGCTTCACCGACTAGCCACCGCTACACTAACGATGCTTAGTCTGTCAGTGACTAGAGATGCCTACAAATGGCTTACTATTTGTAAGTGGCAAACTAAGGTCACGGGATTACACACTGTGCAGCTAGTTTTAATAGCAATCAGTCGATAAACGAAAAAGCGGATGAGAACGCAGACAGCATCTTAAAGAGAGGGTGGGAGCAAATTATGGCAACACGAGAAGCTTTGAAACTAGCAGATGATTCTAATTCTTGCTTTTTTGAAGCCTTCACTCTGCAAATGACGAACTTGTCTACTCCAGATGCATCCGTATGGCCGGAAATCCAGTCATTTTTTGTTCTGGGTAACCGACATCGTTTTGGGAAGCACCTCCAAATTTGTTTCTTACTTTTTTTTTTTGAAACACAGCTCAAAAAAGCTATTCTGCATAAAATGTATCACTAATAAGGTAAAATATTCAAAAATCAAAAAAAAAAATCTGCGAAAGCGCTTAGTTGCCATAATACGCACTTATTTTGTATTTTAAACCTGAGATTATGCACCATACAATATCGATCCGCGCACGCGAAGCTCATGGTTGCGGTCATGGCGATTATGATCATCGATCATTGGGGCTCATCGTGGATCATACTGTCTAGTCAAGCGGTCTGAGTTCTTTATATTATATATTGCATACCAGTCGGTTCGCCTAAATACCAAATGCGTTAGGATTTTGATCGGTAGGCGCCTTTCTCTCTCTTAGTTCCCTTATCTTTTTCCATTTGCTATCGGTCGCTGTCACCGAGTACTTACGATCCCCTCATTTCCTACATCTTTTATAAAACTGCTGAGGTCCCACCGTGTTAATACGAAAAGCTGTAAGCGTACCGAATTTGAACTCTTCAGGCACAAGGAGACAGGAGTTACGAATTCTCGCTTAACCATTTATTACGCACGAAGCCCGCCCCCTTTAGGCGGTATCCGTTGTGCCACCCACCAAAAGTGTTCTCATCCTGCCGCCTCTACTTTTACCACGTTTCCAACTCTCTAGATCAAGAAGAACAGGAGTCATGATTTTTTGCTCAAACATTTATTTCGCGCCAACCCCGCCCACAGGGGGCGGGGTCTGGTCCTACCACCTGTCATGAGTGTTTCCATCCTGTCGCCCGCACTTCTACCAAATTTGAACGCTCTAGGTAACGGGAACAGGAGTTATGAATTTCCGGTCAACCACACACGCTGGCAAACCAACAGACCCACGTAGCGAATTGTATATAGTAGGATTCTTCGATCAGAGTTCATTGCTGCCTTTGTTTTGCTACATGCTATGATGTTGCTCTTACCAGTGAAATAAACTTCTTCTTTCTTCGTATATTGTTGATGCGTACTTTTTAGTAATGTGCAAAAACAGCAAAGTCACGAACAAACAAACGAACTTGAGATTCTTTATTGTTGTCGATTTTTCATATGCCATCTTTCTAATCCAATTTGTATAAACGCTTGTGTATGGCGTGTATGTGTATGGCTTCATGTTGCTGCATGTGGTTTTCTAGTGAATAGTATTTTGTACATGAAGAACGTTCACAAAGACTACAGTTGTCTATGCTTTATTCGAGAGAAAATTTGAAAAAGATTGACTTTAAGTAGTGAATAGTAAGCATACAGCCAAATCGAGTGATCCGTGACCGAGAGATTTTCAAACTGTTAGTAGCAAGAAAGAATGATGTTACGTCAAGGAATTTGCTTGATGGGCGTTAAGTTCGACCGCATTTGTGAGACATTATGCACAAAAAGTCTAGTGCATTTTTATTGCAAGTATCGAAGATTTCTGTAAGTAAAATAAGCGATGGGTGGATAAATGCAGGTCAGAGTGAGCATTTGAACCGAATTGAATCTTATACCGAATCTTATCTACAAATGGAGAATTGGTAACCGTTGAAGGGTGTTTTGGGAGTCTAATGGTTAGCAATCCAGGGTCACGTACACAGCATCCGGGGTTCGAATCTGCTAGAGGTTGGCTCTTGTTCATTCTTTGGGAAGTTTTGTGCATAAAACATCGGATGCCTCGTATACGATTGCTGAGCAAGAGCTGGTCAGAAAACATCCCTAGCGCAACGGATAAGAAATTAACCTCTCGTCTACAGAGTGGAGGTTTCGGATCCTCCGCATTACTGCTTTCTCTCGTCGAACCTTCTTCGAATACATATTGGAGGGCAGCGATTTCTGTTACAAATGCCGCTAGAAACTGTCCAAGCGCCTCCCTATCGACTTCGACGGCAATCAATTCCGAGGCTTCTTCGGCTCAGCACGGCTTCTCCAGTAGACAGCCTTCTTCGACCTGTTCAATTCGACCGGAAGCCTTATTCCCCGACATCGTTTTTCGTACATCTCATCAATTTTGCAAAAGCATACTTTAAATTTGCTTAATCGTTTGTAAAAACATCTGTGAACTCGATCTCTCGATCCTGCGGACGCAATTCCAGACACCTATCCCCTGCGCTCTCCAGACACGTAAGACAAGGCGTAATTTTCGCATCACATAGTTTGCATTTCAATTGAGTCGGATTTCTCCATCCAGTGATTTCCTGTAAATTCATTCTATACGTTTCCACTTCTGCAAGTCTGGTCCATTGTAAAATTGAAGATGGATCCAAGGCTATAAACCCGAAACCCGAAGTTCGCATCTAAAACCGAGAGTGCATTAGAGTGAAGATCACTTTGAGGGACCGGACCCTCAGCACTTCGCAGCGCAGAAACGAAAAATAATGAGCTCGGTACTAAACGATAATGCCTCACGTTTGCAACCTAATTGATCGTCGGGTATACCGTTAAATCGGTTCAACCGACGGCAGATAGCCTCACTTGGCAGCAATATAGATGGATTGTCAGAATCCCGTCTGCCCTATGCCGTTAGCTGAGAGGTGGTGGTTTCGAACAACGCGAAATGACACGACATGGCATCTACCCTGCCACTTCTATCATCCAAGCGCCGCATATCGTCCTGTTTGACCGAGAGGAATCTCTTATTTAGAGAGCACAGAGAATGTGCACTCCCTCTCTGTGCAATAGGTACAGACAGCATTCCCGGAAGAATGCAAAAGAAGGCGTTGTGATGTTTGCCCTCATCGACAACGCTCGAATTAAAATTGTTAGGCCAACGTTCAAACTCGACAAAGTTGATGGTTGTGTCGGTCTGTTTCAGGCTGTCCAGGGACTGTTTATGTGGGCGGGGCCTCGGCTCACCGTCTGAGTCCAGTAATATGGAGTGTGGACTCGGACGTTGAGCCGAGGTCCTCAACGGTGTTCATTCATCAGGACTACCGTACCTGTTACTGTTCTAGTACAAGTGAAATTCATTGAGAAAGAGAGGGCAGGCGAATAGAGATTGCCTCAGGGGGAGCAGGGAGATCGAGTGTGTGCCGATCATCGAACGGAACTGATCACGAATAGTAGGTTACTTCTACTGTTAA